AATTGGATTAAGGAGCCAATAAGTTTATTCTCTGAAATGATGTCATAGCAGAGTGCCATACAGAGGATATGGAGAGGAAAAAGTGGGATACATCTTTATTCCTATTATTGTGATTGATTTAAAAAGTATTTAGTAGAAAGTTAAGCTATCTTTTTATAAATTCTATCTTTTTGTAAGTTGTATTTTTTTCTTGCTAGTATTAAGACTTGGAAAAGTCTTATGGCTTGATAATAAAGTATTCTGAAATGAAGAAGCATCCAAATCTTCCACAGTTTTCAGAAACATAAGATTATAAAGCAAAGTGTATAAATTCAGGGGATTGCATTCAAACTACAAAAGATAGAGCATAATTGTAACCCTAACTGGTTAAACCTGTGCTGTGGATTTACTGATGTATTTGTTTTTCAGATACTGAATTGTGATTGTGTTGATGATATTTATTTGGCAATTGAAATGACTTTTCTCAGTCATCTCAAAACACAAGCCAAAAATGCTGACTGTGAAAAATAATGAACTTATTGTGAAATAAATGCTTATTAATCATGTCAGTGTATTGGTTAGACATTTTGGAAATGTATACAAGATTAGCTTAATTTAATTAGCCAAGAAAGCATCAGCAGTGCCTTAAGAGCTACTTGAGGGCACTGCGATAATTGTAACACACCATCCTAGCTAAAAGTAGTGCTGCCAACATCATTCAACTTATTTAGTAGCAACATAGAGCTCTCCATTGTACTTGATTGCTGATAGGAACAAACATAGACTTGAGGATTGACATAAAGTGCTCTAGCGTGGTAGAATATAAAGCTAAGCAGCATTTTAATGCTCTATAATACCAATATATTTCAGTATCTCTTATTGTAATTTCTCAGTCTGTAGGAATAAATATTTTTTCTTTCTTGAAAGGTGTGATAATGTAGTTCTGTTCTTTTTGTAGCATTGTAGCTCATTGCTACGTTTTAATCCTTACAAGTAGTCTTTATTGGTCAGCTTTTGAAAACTTGTAAAGTGGGCTTTAGAGAAATACTATTAATTTTTTTTTAAATACTAGCTTTAAACATATACCTGAGCGGTTTCTAAAAATTAATCTTTTCTTCAGAAAAGAGCCTGGTTCAGATTAATATATTTCCTTTGGTTGCCTTCTTTGCAAAGTGTCTTACAGTCTTCTGGATGTTCTGTGATTTGGAATAAAACTCTTACAAAGTTAGAGTTCTCCTCTTATGTAGGAAAAATTAAATTTTCTGGCCGCCTGCATGTGAAGCTCTTCAGAGGGAAAAAGCTCTTCACAAAAAACCTACATTTTTAAAGAGCTGAATTGTCTTACTGTTACAGTTTAGAGTAAAGGTGCTGAGGCCAACACTTCTACAGTTCTTTGAAATATATCCTGAAATATACAGAGCCTTGTGAAGTTATTTAAAACAATTTCGGTTAAAGGCAGATTCCCAAGAAAACTCATCTTTGCAGTGTGTAATAAAATACAGAGTTCTTTCAGTTTTAGTGGTCTAATGCTTCTTTGGGACTTACCTGGAGAAAATCAGTGATCTAAAATGAATCGTGCCGTCTGTTCCTTGGTAGTATAGCATTAATATATCTGTGAGCTGTCGGAAATTGAGTAGTTGTCGGAAACAGTCTGTGTCCAAGTTTCTGTCAAAATAGTGTATAGTCAGCATTTGTCATCGTTCAGTGTTTCCAAACGTGTGTCCCAAGTAAGAATGCTTCATATGTACCTTATGAGATCAACCTGGGCCACTGCTGAAATTCATAACACCTCCTAAAAACATTTGGTTTGATTGAGGAAGCGACTTGTGCGTTATGTTTGAAGCTGCTGGATCTCTTTCCATTGTACTGTTCTAGGGCCTTAAAAGGAAGCAATTGAAGGCCAAATCCATGGAGGGAGCGAGACCTCCAAAGGCTACGCAGGAAATGGTGTTGATGTTTAGTGTGTTGCATTGCTTCCTTTGAACATTAGGCTTGCCCCAAAGTCATATTAATAAAACTACTTCTCAGACTACTTTCTCTCAGTTAAATCTTCAAGCAGAAGGCTTAACCAATAAGTCATTAAAGATCCCATGACAATTTTGCAAGAGCGGTATATGGCTTGGGGTTATGTAAGATAATTAGCTCAGGTAATTACATTCTGATCGCCTAGATCCCCCTGCAGTTTCAGTCGGATGTGGTATGGTTTTGCATCTCCTGCCCTAAATTGTTGAGTGTTTTCTATACAGTGCAAAACAGCTTTTATTCTATTCTAATGATGTTTTAAATGATTACTGTATGAAACTTTTATATAATCCTCTTTGAAACAAAGGATCCAGAAAGTAGGCATCAGTGACCTGAAGCTTTCCCTGCTCTTTTGTAGCTGTGACCATTTCAAATGATCATTTATTAGGTGTTTCATCTCTAATATATTACTTTTGTATGGGAGCAATATTGCTCATGAACCTGGTTATTGCAAAGAGAGCTGACAATATATTTTTTTTCCAGCCTTTTTCATCCTATTATTCTTTTTGCTGTTTGTATTCTCCATGCTTTGTTTGTTTTTTCTAAAAAAAAAAAAAATTTTTCCTGTGTCTGAGCTTACTCTTGAAATATTATCTTCATTACCTTTGGGTTTTTCATAGTTTATTTCAGCCATTAATTATGCTTTAAACTGTTTAAGTATTATTTTGTATTTTCTGAGCTTACTCTTGAAATATTATCTTCATTACCTTTGGGTTTTTCATAGTTTATTTCAGCCATTAATTATGCTTTAAACTGTTTAAGTATTATTTTGTATTTACACTTGCTTGGGTTCTTTTCCTAAAGAAATGTAATTTCTTCTTGCTTGGTAGCAATTAAAACATGCCAGTTTGTAAGATTGATGTGTTATCTTCTCTTACTTTTTCATTTTGTGCTGCTGAGCATGGGTGCGGAATAGTAACTTCAACTAACATTAATATATTTGAACTAACTGTAAACTACAAGGAATACTACTACTGGTATTCCTACCAGCAATGTGGAAGTTTAGGACTTGCCCAAGTTCTTGAGTAGTTTTTGTAGCCTTCTCTGAATTTCATGTTTTTATCTTCATGCTGCTAGTAATGCATGAGCTAAATAATTTAAAACTTTGCTGGAAGGTTTCTATCAAGTTGCATTCAGAGCAGTTCCAGTTTGAGCATTTTCATAATTTAGAAAATGTGCTTTTTTGCTTTTTTCCAATCTCCAATTAGTTCCTTAATTTTAGATGAACAGGTAGTTGAACTAAGCCGTTTAAATAAACTGATAAGAAGAGGCTATTCTTTCTGTGCATGTGGACTGCTTGCATCTAAATTTGTTGCCATGCTTTAGCAAACCTTGATTCCAAATATTTAATAACGACCTGTTATTTCTCTGGTTTGTCTTTCAGAACCTGAATGTTGTTTTCACTAAAATTTCGAGTTCAATACATTAATCCTCAAGATTTTATATTGCAATTTTACACAATTTTAATGTTGGTTCACTTTTGAAATATTGTCCTTTTAAAGTGCATTGTAAATGTAGAAATGCACAAGTTTTTTTTGTTTTTTTTTTTAACCTACTGTTTTTTTAGGGCACCTTCCTGTTTACTTTGCTACATACATTTCCTTGCTTTATTTTAATGGCTCAAGTGCTTTAACATGTGCAGACTTTGAGAAACCAGCGGTCCACTACTGATTTCCTGCTTGCTATCTGCACTCAAATCATTCTGCTTATTTATTTAGGCTTATAGTAGTACTGAATGGAGATCATGTTCGCTAGACTGTCTTTGAGCTGGGTTGTTCAGGAGAAATGATGAATTTTTGAGGAATGAGGCCAGGGAAAAAGAGTTGCTTAAATGTTTTAATTTTTTTCCACTTCTAAACTGTAGTCATTCCTAAAATGTTTGCATAAATATAATCTCGACTTTGAAGGTCTTTGATAATGGACTCTAGAAACTCACAGAAATAGTTAGTGTGGTTCTGACTAAAAATGGGCTGCAGTATTCTTTAGTGTTAAACTACCAAGATCTGTGGTTCTATAAACTTCAGATTTGTGGATCTTCTAGAGAAGTTTGAGTTGTAGACAGACTGCTGTACAGCAAATGAGAAGCTCTCTCCTCAGTAGACTTGCTCTTCTGAAGGTGTGGGTTTTCACACGTGGTGCAGACTGCATTAAAACCGTGCAGGTGTGAAAAGGAGCAGACTTATTGATATTAATGCTGGCCTGGCCATTTGATCTGCTGGATCAGGCTCAGGTTACTGAGCCAGCTGAAACTAACTCTCCTGCCCACTTTCTCCTGCTCTCCCAATAAATTTGCAGCTGCAAATTCAGAAAGTCATGGTAATTTTAGAGAGGGCATGAAGGAGGGGAGAGGGACACTCTCAGGGAAGTGCTTGGAGAAGGGCAGCGATGATGTGCGGAGGACAAACCCCAGCTCCCTGTCTCTTGGCTCTGCCTCCGCTTGGCAGAGGCTGCTGTGTAGTTGACTCTCCCTTTCTTTCCTGAACCTCTAACCATTCCAAGAAGTCTGTGGATTGCAGATCAAAAGCGGTTGAAGGGCACTCAACCTGGAGGTAAAGGGGTGGCTTTTCTAATGCAGATAGAGTGAATGGTTGAAAGGGTGATAATATCACAATAAACAGTATGGCAAGTAGCAGTTCCTATTTTTAACTCGCAAACTGTAACTTTTCTCAAAAGCTTTCGCATTTATTAAGCGACCTGAATTCTACAATTGAAGAATTCTAGGAAATGGAAATAGAGTGTAAAGGGTAAAAGCAGATCTAACGCAAAAATTGTAATTTATTTTCACATGAATGAATTGGGAAGAGTTTTTTCTTTTGAAAAAGGCCAGATGATGGAATTAATTGTATCCTTTAATGGATAACATGGATGTGAGCATTGTTTACTGAAACAAATACTGCAGGTGAATGTTAAAAGAATTTTCATCATCCTGCAATTGAGAGATTCTTTAATGCCGTTTTCGCCAACCTTATTAGTTGTTTATTCCAAGATCATCAAGCAGTTCCTAAACATGCATATTTGCTATTCTTCCTTAACAGCTGTGGAAAGCCAGTGTCTGCTAAATGATGATTGTATGCAAACAAGTGGAAGTTAGAGAACTATGTCCTGAAGATGGATTCTTTTAAGCCAACTTTGCCACTTTTCAGCCTGCCAATAAGGTTACCACAGAAGACCCTTGATGAAGTTCGTAGTAAGATTGTTTATGTGCTTTAATCCACGTAGCTTTTCCCTAGCTTTTTACCATTTGAAGGCACTGGCAATATACTTTGTTAAATTTTTAGGACACGCAAGATATTTAGCATGCAGCAATGCATGGTGAACTGACATGAATGCAGAGGGCTAGGTCTGCTGTATCATGCAACAACGGAGAGTTGAATCATGTTAGCTTCTTCCCCCAGACAAGTGGATCTAGTCTTACCTCTTCCTACGGAGCAGGTAGTCAGCTTTCACAAGGAGCGGGGCTAAGGGCCCTCACCAGGCAAGCGCAGGCTCTTTGTGAAGGTTTGGCAGTGGTGGAGAACGGATAAAGAAATGCATCATCCTGAAATTAGGACACAGTGCCAATGCGTTAGGCAAGGGATGGCCCCTCGTTACAACGTTCTCGTGAGAGTGTTTCAGCTGCCTCAAATTTGTGCTAAGCATTAAGACAATCTTAATTTTTTTTTTCCCTGTGAAAGATGCTGTAAAAGCAAAAGAGTGAACTTAAAGAAGCAATTGAAAAGGGATTTGGAGGGATTTGCCAGATTATGGTCAGATGATGTTATTACAGTCATGGTAGAAATTTTGTTTGATCTAGGTAACAAAACTTGGAACCAAACATGAAGCAAAACTAAAAATAGCTCAAAGAGATTGTCAACTTTTTTCATTTGGTACTTGCTTAGTAAGCCGAGCCCCAAAGTGCTAGGAATGCTAAAGGATACCTAGCACTTACCTAGCTTTCCTCAATAGATCTTGAAGTGCTTTACAGAAGTTAGTACTTTAATCTGCATTGTTTACCTAGGCAGAAACTGATACACAGGGGAGCAGGTGGCTTATCCAGAATCAGTGGACAAACAAATAGAGAGTTTTTGGTATATTTTCTTGGGATGTTTGAAATGGCATTAGAGATTAATGCAGAAAAAGCAAATTATTTGTTAACCGAATAATTATCTGAGGGCAAAGATGATTGATCAGCTTAACGAGTTGTTACACTGGGGCTGATGTTGCATTTTTTTTCATGAATGCAAGTCTTATTTTGGAAAGTCAAATTTACCTTTTTATACCAGAGGAATAAATATGTTTATTAAGTGAACCTGAGAGTATGTATTTTATTTCGTTTAATGCCCAGCCCATTTCCAAGAACTATGCATGAACTGATAGAGGGAAAGGTGGATCTTCAGCAGACCAAATTTTTTTTTCACATGTTGTACTGTCTTAATATTAATCCAGATTATTAGTATTCTGGGACTTCTGAGCATTTGTGGTGTTATTCACGAGATACATTGCAAATTGTTAGAAATAACTGAAGGCCGCTGGATCCAGTTTCCTCAGAGTTAGTAAAGAATACAGGTATTGAGAGATTTAATGTCTGAAATCATTGTCTTTTCCAGGAGTCAAATGAGGAAAAAGTTATTTTAAAATATCCATAGCTAGTGGAGAATTAACTAAAATTAGAAGTAGATATTTGTGAAAACCTGTAGCTGAAACAGATTTCTTAATTACGTTTATGTTGTTATCTTAATTAAGACAAAAGTAAATTTCAGGCAGTTGGGTATTTGTTCAGTGGGGCAGAAAGAAAGACCAAATGAAATAATTTGGGCTTCCTACAAAATGCAACGGAACAGGACTGATCAATTAAGAATCGAATGTTAGTTGGTCCTAATTTAATACCTGAGACATGCAAAAGGAGTAACAGAAAAGGAAAGCATGCTGAGAGGATTAAAATATGAGATTCAAAACTCTCACGCCTGATTTGCGAAGTTATATGAGCAATCGCATTAACTTTCGAGGTGTGGCAAAGAGTTAGTCAGAAGAAGGGTGCGACCCACAAAATGCACAGCAAGGAGAGCGAGTTTTACCGTGGGGAAAAACTCAAATGTATCAGCATGTCCATATACTTTTTTTTTTTTTTTAATACGGTTAACCTATGGCAAACCAGACAGAGTGTTTTTCTGAAGCTGTAAGGTGCGGTCGTGGTTTGAGTGTGATATCCCTTACTCAAAAAGCTAGCTTGACTTGTGTTTGTGTACTTTGAGATGACAGTGATTGAGATGGTTCGTGCTCATCCTGTATTACCTAGCTTGCTGGATTGTGTTTGTTTTTGGATGGTCAGACAGCAGTATAATGAGGAGTTTTTTTGGTGTTCTCTTGTCCAGGAGACTCAACCTATTTAAAAAAAAAAAACAAAAACAAAACCTTTTTTTGGTATCCTCAACATGCTAGAGGTAGTCTTTATATTTTAACTTGAAAAATAATCGGCAATAATGCTTTAGCTGGCTGGTCTCTGTGATGCAGCAGAAGGCAAGCACTTGTCAGTGAGGGCTTCCTTGGTATGTTTAACCTTAAGTCACACGGAAGGCTGTGTCTATTTAGTCACTTCTGTTCTAACGGGATGGGTTCAGAAGGAGGAATGCAGGTTTTTCCTCTGATTTCTGGTTTGTGTTCTTTTAAGTATTTGCCTCTGAATGTTGTAAATCTGTGTTAGAATTAAATTATTATTTTGAAATTTGTATGTAGGGATGGATATGAGATTACAATAATACTGTATATCAATATTTTTGTTGCATGTTCTTGTAAATGTGTATTAGGAGAACAGAAACATCTTTTCCATCTTTCTCTTCTTTTCCTGCAAAGTAAAGACAACGTAGAATATCGGTGTGCAACTATATTTGTTTTAATGCTTTAGATTTGTTGCTGCTATCATTTGACTGCTTGCAGTGAAGTTACGTTACCGGAGAGCTTGCCCCACTACCTCTGCAAGACCCTCTGTTGATTTTGTAGCTCCTTAACAACCAATTTGAAGTATTTCTTCAGCTGTCAACTTTAATTTTACTCTTGAATCCAAAGATGATAATGAATGCTATGTTCCTCCAGTCTAGACTATAGATGGTGTCCTTCAGTTACTTCCTTACTTACTACTGGCGAGAGAAGAAACTGTGCTTTGCTGGGCATGGTTCTCGCTGTTCAGGATTACAGTGGGAGTTTGCCAAGCCTCTCATTTCTGTTAGATTAGTAGAAACCTGCTAAATTTGGTTTAAGTGGATGTAGTTTGTGACACTACCCAATCTGTGTTTTTTGATTCGTTTCTGCTTGCTTTTCCCTTGTGCCTAGCAGCTGTCAGCCCTTTGGCATGCCTGGGTTTTGTTGCTAATGTTGTGTGGCTTCGGTATGTTTTTAGGCAATTTCTGATATTATTAAGATCTTTTTCACTCCGATTCTCTGCGTTCTGGTGGCAGCAGTGCTTCCAGCGTGTGAACGAGTTTGCTTCAGTGCCAGTGCTTCGTTAGGAGCTGCAAGTTCAGTGCATTTGTTCCTAATTCTGCAATTGCGTTATTAATTTCTTAATTTTTGAGTTGGATGCTTATATTATACATTTTTCTCTCTGGTCCCAGAACGTTTTCATGGTGTCTTCTGTTAAGTAATAAGTTTCTGGTTTGAGACTGAAGTACTATTTTTAATCATTAAAAGTATAAATGGTTTGAGGCTCAGTTGCTTCAGGGAGCAAGTCGACTGCATTAGACCTCTTTTGCTCTAAACGGGAGGAAGAGGTGGGCAGAGTGCTCTCTGTTAAGGCTTCTCAATTTGAACTTCATTTCTTTTCTTGTTCTGTCAGATCCCAGACTGGCTAATCTCTTGAGTGTAATGAAAACTCCATTTCTATCTCCATTTTATATTATTATTAGTGTAGGAAGGAGAAAGGTTGTATAGATATGATTTGATTCCCTAGAGTTTATGTTAGAGTGCTAACTGGAAAGTGGAATAAGATTACTTATTAATATATTTAAAATTTCAGTGATTTCTCATTGTAGTAGCTTTGTTACTACTTAGTGGTAACAGTATTTTGTGTATATGTGCATCTTTTATAGCAGATGTTCTAACTTAAGGTGGTATTTGGGCTTGACTTAAATCACTCATATCGTATTTGTTAAGTTACTGCATAGAGTTGTACACAGACAAATGAGGCTCAGCTGAAAATAATATGCTAGGAATAGCAAAGAGTGACCAGAAGTTACTACCTAGTTACTACCTCTTAAGGTAATAACTTCTGCTAGCCTAGTTCCTTAGAGACCTGTACTAATATGATCACTTGAACTGTTAACCTGTCCTTCCTTCCAGCTTCTGAAGTTGTTGACTAGCATCAGTTCCTTTGACAGGTGTTAGGTATCACAAAGATGCTCAGTTTGTATAACTTTTGTGAATATTGGTAACTCGGTAGCCCAGAGAGACCTGAAGTAGTAGGTTTTGCTTTCAGGTTAATCACTGATGTTTTGTTTTGTCCGCCAGCAGCCACTTGGCGTGTGCATGGCTCGGGAAGCAACTATATCACTGTATTGCCTTTGACCAGTAAATAGGCAGGAGAAATAGCTGACAAACGAGGAATGCTAGCTAATTTTGAGACCTAGGGCCAGAGGCGGGGAACTGGGGGAAATGCAGTGAAAGGTGGTCAGAGGAGGCCTGGGAGGCGTTAGGGATTTTCACATGGGAAAGGGGTAGGGATGGAGTGTAAGAAACTGTGCATTATTAATTTCACCGCTCACAAAATAACTTTAATGTTACCCCTCATAAAGCTTCATTGCATGCTTGTTCCTCTTTCTTAGTTTAATTTTATCTATCTGGCCTAGCCGGTTTAAAACTGGTTTTGTGGCTTACGCTGAAGCTCTGCTTCTGTCTTGCGCAGAGTAGCTCCTGTAATTGCAGAAAGAGAGTTCTTACTAAAATTGTCTTTTAGCAAAGTGGTGTGTTTCTGTAAGTCCACAAATAAGCCTGTGTCTCGTTAAAAGAAAAAAAAATGTAGTGCAAACACAAATCAATGTTAGAATTTTGAGAAAAGTTTGTATTTTGCAGTTGCAGTGTGTCATGGGAACAGCTGGGTTGCTGGAAATTGATTTTACAATTTCATGCAAGGTGGAGATGTTTGTGTTTAGGAATGATAGCGATTTCTATTTCCCCTTTACCTTAAATCATGGCAGGATTTGGAATCAAAAACTTCCTCTAATTTAATTTTAAACATGATTCTCTGGTATCCTGTGTATTGCGAATATTTGAGTTTAATATGATGTACTTTCTCAGTAATTGAAATGATTAGGAAGAAAAAAGTGTATGTTTATTTACTTATTTATTTTTAACTAGGATTCAATGATTTCTAGGATTAAGTTCTAATGTTAGCCTCCTCCTTTTCCTGAGTTTACCTCAATGGGCTAAAATTATGAAAGTTGAAAGTACTCTTAAAATGAGATTTGAACATGGACTTGTTAGTATACTGTTTGTTAAAAATGTTTCTTGGGAGACAAAATGTTAAGGCATGATTTAGACAAGAGTTAGGTCATTTCACTCGCAGCTTTCTGTTCCTGCAGATGGTGATCCTGTTCTCATCTCTGCCGTTTGCTTGTGCAATTTTTCTTGCGTTATGTTTGGCATTTGTCCGATCCCTCGGCAAAGTGATTCAGGTCACTAAACTGGTAGGAAACTAATCTAACAAAAGAAAAATGAGCTTCTGAAGTTTGAAGCTTTAGCGCCCTGATCTGGTTTCTTGGTGGGTCAGAGGAGCATCAGAACAAGTTCAGAGGGGGCTGGAGTGGAGCTGGGTAGCCAGGCCAGGCACCCGGGCCGGCCGCTGTTTCAGTCCTGCTGAGCTTCCTTAGGTCAGCTCTTGTGTCAGCCTGCGTCCGTAGATTTGGTTTTATTTAGGCTTTATCTTGGCGGCTTTTCTAAATATTGTACTGTGATGGTCTTTCTTCCTTTCTTAAGAAAAAAATTACTTTTTGTACTGTCTTAACGCAGTGCTTAAGGCAGCATAATATTGAGTTATTTGGGGTACAGAGCAGAGTGTGGTTAACAAGTCAGGTGAATAAGCTGGACTTGCATGATTATCTCTATGCGTGTAAATAAAATTATCTTTTGTTCTTAGTTTAAATGCTTACTGACAATTCCTGGAGGCTTAGTGTCTTGAAATTGGTTACACTGTTGCGGTAAGAGGGGACGTGTAGTCTTTGTTACGACGATTGTTTCCATGAGCCGAAATTTGTGATTCACAAAATGTTGCTTTTTCTTTTGTTGTCCACCTTAACAGTAACAGCCTCAAAAGGTACCTGGCTGTCCCTTTCTTGTGTAGCGCTCTGAAGTAATCCCTTGTTACTGTCTCTGAGTTTGTCTATGTTACCTCTGATACGCACAGTGAATAAAAGCCCCAGTTAGTGTTTAGATGCTTCTTCAAGGTGTCTAAGACTAACATTGTTAATGTGTATAATGCTGCTAATGAGCACATGAGGGGACAGGTGCTATAAAAGTAGGAAGTCTGCTTCCAGTTACTCCTTGGTTGTGTGTTTGACAGTATAAAGAAGAGAATAAGATATTGCAAAACTCTTGCAGCAAGAAGGAGAACATAATGCAACTGTTTGAACATTTCTAATACAGAGACTTTCAACAGAATAAATCTGTGCTATGTTTCTAAGTATCTTAATTTTGCTCTATCTTTTTTCTTTTTGATCACTTTTTCCCTTTTTTGGCAAGAAGCGCAAGGGTGGCACTATTATATATAAAATACAGTGGGTTAGAGAACCAGAATGCTTGTTCAGAAATAAATCTAAAATACTGTACAAAATTTTAATAACTCAAAATAAATATTTTAATGTCCAGTAATATGTTCACAATAAACAAACTTAACATTTATTTCAAATCAGTTTGCTGAGAGTTTGATAGAGGAGTATGCAAGTTATCCCCAAGGATGCTTGTTTTTATTTATCATGAGAAACGTTTGACTGTATTTCAATAATTAAACTTTACTTTTAATTGCACAGTAGATCTTTTTCTGTAAGGATATATAAAAATGAGCCAATTAAATATGGTCTGATGCTCTTTCCTTTTCAGAAAGATGAAGGTAGTGATGCTAGTTTGAGTGATAGCCACGTATCTCCTCCCGCCAAACGTACCTCAAAACATGCTGATCCTGTGTGCAAAGACAAATCAAAATCACGCAGTACTGGGCAGCGAGAGGAATGGAGCATCTCAACTGGACAGTCCAGGTAACTTGGTACCAAGAGAAAAATGACGTTTTACCACTTTGTCCAATACTGTTAACTTACTCATTGTAGTTGTGCAGTGAGCTCCAGCTCACACTCAAGGTGCGTTTTGGAAGTATGTTATTTTCATACCGATTCCTTCTAGTTAGGACTCCAGGATTGTGGGTTACATCAGTCTTCTCATCTATGTGCTTTTTTTCTATGCTGATTTGTGTGCTAAAATGGAAAGTGTTTTTATTTGAAATGCGAACTGAATTCTACATTGCTGGTGCATCCAAATTTAGTGACTTAGTTGGTATTTTTACGTACTCCAGCCAGCAAGAAGACTTGACATTTTAATTAGGTAAACAGTATTTTCCACATCTTCAGGGAATGGATAATGGTCAAATCTTTCTTTCCATCGTTGTTTTCAGCCTCTCTTCCCTGTTTGGTTATAAGGACCAAAAGAGGAGTAATTTATTTCATTTTCTTACTCTGATGAGTAATATTTTAAAAAGCATTTGTATGTTGATAAGATTGTTCACCTTATTACAAGTAATAATGAGACAGTGTAGACAGTACCCTCCTACAGCCGTGGCCCTTCGGCTATTACTGGTTGTTTTATAGATACGTTTTTTTGTATTTATGTACAAACGAGAAGACTTTTCTCAACTGTTTGTTGCTAAAATTTTATTATTTCATTTCATACGTTTCCCTTCAATTGTAGTTTCTAAAAAAAGAAAAACACCTGACCAGAAAAAAGTTATTTGGCAGTTGAATAATGTGAACGTGATTTGTAAATGTGGTTCTCAGTGTTGCTACCTAACCTTTGCAAAAATCCTTAACTACCTTTGTTTTGTAGGATTCTTGTTAAACGTTTCCTAGGAAAATAATAGCACGAGCCACCATCTTCTATTCTTCTATTAAGTTGAACTATTTGTAGTGCTATTGAACTCTTGGTCACATTCAAGCTCTGATTGCGTTTGCTATTTTTAAAATTTCCCGTCCTTTTCCTTTCCTCCATCAAATTCATTTTAGCTTTCCAACTTAAGAACAAGCAACACCTCCCTATCCAGTACTGATGTAAAGTATATGCTACGGTTCACTTCTCTGTAAAGTACTTTGTCTTCTTGAGGGTGGAAGAGATCTACAAAGAAAGACTTCCTTCTTTTGTCTGATTTTCTTTTGCTTTTGGGTGTAGCAGTATTGCCAAGTTTATTATAAGTGCTTAAATGGTTATTGCTTTTGAAGAGCTACATCAAGATCCTGTTCTGGAACTTAAGGGAAAGTTAATAGTAGGACAGGGCATGGGGTAAGCATTAGAAGGATTAATAAGAGATGTTTGTATAATTGAGGATTCATATATTTGGTATTTGGCAATTTTGTGCTCATTCCAGTGCTGGACAGGAAGTGTGAGAGACACGCTTCAGGGAGTATGTTTCACAGCAATTTTGAAGTTGTACTTAATTCTGCAACATTTTAAGAGTTTAACTTTTAAAGTTGAGTTTTTGTTAGATAGCTTTTACTTGGCTAAGGAGTGTTAACGTTATGCATTTTAACATACTGTTTTCTAGGTTAACTTCTCAGCCTGGTGCTACACTACCAAATGGACGTAGCTTATGTAAGTGTATTCCAGTGGACTCCCTTGTATCTACTTTTATGTTTAACAAATTTTCGTACATGTTTTTGATAACTTTACTGATTGCTCTCACCATTTTGGCCAGAAAAGTTACTGTTTTGGCTCAGTTTTCTTCTCTCAGCATCTTGGATGTTCTCTATGGATGCAGGGAACATTCTCGGATGAAATTCCATTTCTTTTCTCAATTCAGACCTCTTGGCCATGATTTTGATGTTTTCCTTGATTTTCAAATTTACTGTTATGGACTAATTTTGGCCTTCCTTTCCCAGCTGGTCTCTTGAACTTACTCACTCTCTTTGCCTGTTTAAGATTTGGCCTTTTTTGGCTCTTAACATTACTGTACTACTGCTTTAGAGACCTGCCTTGTCTGCAGCTCCTGCTACTTTGGAATGGTTTTCCTATATATTTCTACCTTATAAATTTGCCATCTCATTTCATATCTCAGCTAAAACCACATCTGTCCTTCGTGTCCTCCGTTTCTCTTAAATTGTCTCCTTTAGTTCTGCGTTGACTCTATGTAAATGTTACTCCATTAAACATTTTTGGTATTTTTATTATTTATTGTAGTGCCTAAGGAACAATCAGGAGCGGGATCCCTTTTTGTTTGGCACTGTACAGAGTAGCTGATACAGATTTGCTTGCAAGATCAAATGTGTTGTATCTGACCTCTGAAACCTATTGATTCTATATTTGGAAGACTTAAGAGTTGAAACTCTTAGTGGGCCAAGTGTGGATGTTAGTCTTGATGGTAACTTAAAAAAGTTAAATGGATATTTGAATACAAATTTTCGTCATAGAGTACGATCTATCCTATAAGGAAACAAGCTCAAGTCTGAAGAAATAGCTTGTAAAACATCACTGATAGGAATTTTGAAAATTTTTTTTCTAGTGAATATAAGGGTGTTTATACTGTACTCCATAATAACTTTTGGTTTATTGTCCTTGCTAAGTGTTCTGCTTATTAATTCTTGTTTATGAAAATGTTATTTCCTGCATTTTGAAGTAGTAATACAAATTTCTCTTAGCTCTCAAAAGCCATCCCCTTCGAGGGGAAAAAAAGGGAGATGGGGACCATGCTTGCATAAACGGAGATATAGAAGTCAGAAAAAGTTGTCGGTCCCGGAAAAACAGATTTGAAACTTTGAATCAGAGTTTATTGTTTGATCAGCTAGTAAACAGGTATGTGGGGATACTTCAGTTGTATTCACAAAGCATCTTGATGGTTTTTAAAAAAGTTAGAAAACTCTATCTTTTAGTGCCATCTAAGTTTTTGACTATGGGAGCATATTAGCATTGGGGCAAGCTAGATTGTGGTTTTAATTAAAAATGCTGGCTCCTGTGCTGTAACTGCCTACGTCATCTGTGCTGTAAATGCAAAGCAGCTTACCTGACTTTCATTGAGGAGTAAGCTACTTTGTGTTTGCCCCTGGGAAAAAGTGTGTATGTTGGCGGTTAATGCAGAGTGGCTAACATGTTAGAAATCCACACCCTAGTTTGTCTCTCAGTAGCTTATTTCTGTAACGATACCCTAAATGCAATATGAATTAGTGATCTACGGTGTTGATCTAGGCATCAGCAACAATGCTTGGAAGCTTTGTAGAGCTTGCTTGTATGATTTTTTTTTGATCATAAAATATCAGAAGTTTGTAGTCTTCCTTTTTTTTTTTTTTTTTACCATTTGTTAGTAATTCACATAGGACGGGTGTCACTTTTTGACATTTACAGTGCAGACAAAGTAGGTCAGAGAGGGAGGCATGGTCTGGTCTGAGCACAGGAATGGGAGCCAGAAATATTTTTCTTGAAATACTATTTCTTTGCTGCCTTGGGCAGGTCACTTAATGTGTTTCAATTTTCCCACCTGTAAAATGGGTTCTAATAGTCACGTTTGTGAGAGACTGCTTGGTAGTGTTTGGAAAACTATTGAAACATAAATGTTTAATTGCCAAGTATGATCTTTATTGCTAAATGTATACTGTTGAATCTCTTTTTCATTTAAATTTTTTTTCAATTTACTCAGTAACTAGTTGGTATCAGTTTACAAATTTATATTGAGTTACATTTATTTTTCTAGTTGCAGTTGAATCTCCCTCTTCATCAACAATAGGAAACAGTCTACCATGAAGATTGTAATTTGATAAGATCATGGTACTGAAGTCTACATATGAACTTATATTGATACAGTGTGTCCAATAATCATTGGAGATTTTTAAGAACAGGTTAGAAAAACATCTGTCAGGAATGCTTTAGGTATTATGTAGCTTGTTCTTACCTGGCAGAGGAGGTGGACTTTTCCAGGTCCCCTCCAAAATATTTTCTTTGATTTTGAGCTATTGCTTAATTTTACTTGCAGTAGATATGCCACGTATCACAAATATTTTAGCAGAATTGTTTCTAAATTCCGAGGGGCGCTTGTAATGAAGTCTTGACCCTATTGAACTCAGTGGCAGAACTTGCATGACTTCTTTTGGGTCAGGATTTCACCATTAGGTTTACATTTGAAGAGCTGATAGGAAGGAAGAGAAAGTTGCTGCCTTCTTACAGCTGTTAGACAATTACAGTAGAATTTGGGTGGAGATCTACCATAATTGCCACAGAGAGCAGGAACTAGGTGGTTGACTTGGCCTGGCTAATAACCTGCTGTGTTCTTCCTTAGCAGTAATACACCTTGGCCAAGATTATTATTTATACACCACTGTTGTTTTGTCAGTTCTTTACAAATATGTCAGAAAAATGCTGTTCTAAAGAAATTGGAGTGTAATTAAGTAATAGATGAGAACTGGTACAATATTAAGCTGAAATAATGAATGGTGGAGTTCTAGGTATTACTGACTTAACATTGTTTTTCACATTCCTTTGCTTATTAGTGTCTTTCTGAGGCCAGGGTAAGACGTTATAAAGCTTACAGGACAGAGGCATTGGGTTGCTTTTGCAATGTTAATTATGTGCATAAAAACTTTACTTTCTTATTCTGTCAATCTGGCACCTTCCTAGAGCAGTACCATTCACAAATTTATAAACTATAACCTACACTCGGCAAACAACAGCAAAAAACTTTTAAAGCATTGCAGCCTAAGTTGAACCCATAAAATTAGTGTTTCTTCTTATGCATACTCTTTAGTTTATATTCTGTAGGTTCATCTTTCAGTTTTCTTTATTGTGGTTGGTTTTGTAGTTAATTGATAGATTCAGAAAGTTACCCTAAAATTTTCAGATTTTAATTCATTTGTGTATTTGCTCAACATGTAGCTCTTGGAATAGCAATAAAAGACCATAGAATTAGATATTTTATTATAGGCTATGTGAAAACTTCTGCATGTCTGCTGTTTTAAGACTGAAATCTTTTTCGTTAACTGTTGCCTATGTTTTAGTACTGCTGAAGCTGTCCTACAGGAAATGGATAATATTAACATCAGGAGAAATAGGCGGTCTGGTGAAGTAGAGCGGCTGCGAATGTGGACAGATACAGAGTTTGTAAGTGCGGAGTGTCTTAGGTCTTTGATAAAAGTAAGAGTGAGGAAGGGCATGGGTTTTTCTGTTTGTCTGTGTACGTCTGTCTGTAGCTGTATTAAAAGGTTTCAGAACTCCTTCACTGGATAACATAAAAAAATTTGAACTCAAATTCAGAACAAAACGCACAGATGTTATATGTATTTTATAAAAATCCTGGATCATGTTTTCCTTATTGATGTATTGATTGCCGTATGCTCATGATGTGTTGAGGTGGTGGTTTGATTCTTGGTTGGAAGCACTGTCTGATAGTCTGCAAACAGACCCAGGGACTGTCATCTGTTTTATTCCCTAATACAACTTGATATCAACTGTGTATTGCATAGACTAGATACTACCTCAGAGACTTACTTCACCGACTGTTAAATGAGACTGCTTTTGTAGTCCACCTGTGGAGGGGTCTGTTGAAAAAACACTTAGGGGATAGAAATTTTATGCAGTGTTACTTATTGAACTGTAGGCTAACACTATAAGTGACATGGGACAGTACTGATTAAGGTGTAAATTAATTTTATTCCAGGAAAACATGGACATGTATTCTCGAGTGAAAAGGAGAAGGAAATCACTGAGGAGAAATAGCTATGGTATTCAGAACCACCATGAAGTGTCCACAGAGGGGGAAGAAGAAGGTATGGATTGAACAGAATTGTAAGGGCTTGTTTGAAATAATTTTATTTTCAGGACAGTTTTGTTTTGCAAGTAAGAGAGCAAAATGTTGTGCTACAGAAAGTAATTTGGTTTTGGATCTGGACTTGCAGTTACTAAATGGACAAATTAACAAGGCTATTGGAAATATACAGTCTAGGAATTCCCTTCAGAAAAGTTTTGGGGATCTCTACAAGTAGTTTTCTTTAAACAAAAGCAACCCATGTTTACCTGAAAGTAGCAGAACAAAGTCTAGTTCCTAAATATCTATGTATTACGTTCCCTTACTCCTGTTTTTCCTAGCACTAAATAACTGGAGCTCTCCTTGTATTCCCTGTAACAAACCTCTGTGTGGAAACAAGATGTTTCATGTTGTCTGCAACTATGCATGTGCAAAGCGTCTGGCTGTTTCTCGTATGCTGGCTGGTTGTTCCCAGAAGGAATTTATGATAGTGAATTCTGCATCTTTCCTCTGGTGAAAACATTAATATGGGTATATCTCTTCTGTTCATCAGCTGAGTTTTAGAAAGGGACATGACTGTGTGTGAAATTCTGCCTGCCTTCTTTTGAAATTTGGATGAAAGTGGATGAACTTGGTCAGTGGGTTCAAAGATCCCTGGAGAAAGAGGGGATGATGGCTAACTTGATTTGCATGATCAAGGACATGCTTGGTTTGCTTAAGAAATCACACTTAAACTTCATTTCAGAGATCCAAACACAAAAGTGTCTCTTGATTCTAAACTGAAGCGTTGTAGGAAGTATGGTCTATCCCAGTTAATAAGAATGCAATCTTAATTCTGAGGCCCAGGGACAGAAGTCTTGATCATATCAATAAGCTGGACCTAGGCAATACCTTTATACAGTGTATTTGCTCGAAAAAGCTTTGTGTGTAAAAAAACAAACAAACAAACAAAAAAACCCTAGATTGTGACTCTTAAAGTTGTACTTATTTTCATGCTATGTCAAATATTTGATTTTTTTTTTCCCCAGGTTACTATTAGGAAAAGAGAGAAGAAGAAAGGTGGTATTCTTGATTTGAGGAATAACTACTCAAGGAAAAAGATGGCATACAATGAACGATAACAACATTACTATCCAAATTAATTTGACTATGTTTATTTTGCTTTCTGTTGCTATTCCAGAACCTTCTGTGTCATACTGTCTTCCAGTTTCCCAGTGTACTGTAGGTTTATCTTGATCTTCAAATTTCCAGTGTTTTACCAATTAGTGATAATAGGAGAAGTATAACTCTCATTGGCCGTTAAAATACTTATTTTGGTGGTGAAGATAGCTCTGAAATCAAGAAGTAGATACGTTTTGAAAAAAAAAATTTTTCCCACTTAGAATCTCAGGAGGAAGATGGAGATATAGAAGTAGAAGAAGCCGAGGGAGAAGAAAATGATCGACCTTATAATCTAAGACAGAGAAAAACTGTGGAACGATATCAGGCCCCTCCAATAGGTGAGGAACGAGATCGTGTTTGTTCAAGTCTATTCTGCTGACTTCCCAGACTTTGCAGACTTCCATGGGTGAGGGAAGGGAAGTTGGATGACTGACCGCTCTTCGTCCCATATATGCAGAGCTTAGTTCCTTCTTTTTTTGTTCACCATGTAACTAAAGCTACAGAGAAGGTTTGTGAAGAGTGAATTGTGGTGATATTGCTAGTTCTTGCAGTCTTATTCAACTTTGCAAGTACTGGCATGTGCTGGGCTCAGTGTTGGAGGTGAGCGGGGTGTAGGACAAGAAACAGTTAGCGGAAATTGAATTCAGTCAGCCAAGCTAGTTATGCTAAAAAATGGATAATTAGGTATAAAAAAGGATAATTGTTATGCTGGCTTCTCTTACTGAGTAGTAAGCCTAAATCATAACTCTAGATTATGCATAGAATTGCATAGCAACTCTAGAATTAGAACCAACAGTCACCATGTTTTGCCTACATAAGAAATTATGATACTTTTATATAACGTATTCTGAGCATATCTGTTTTGGATTAAAATGATGTATGCAGTGCGCTACACTTTAAGGCAACTTGGAAATTAAGATTGCAATAGAGGAATGCTGTGGTTTATTTGTTAAGCAAAGTTTCAAGTCATCCCATACTACCATCTGTCTAGGGGCTCCAGTATGGAGTTTCATGTCCTGCAAGTAAACTAAAAATGCTGGTGTCTTGGATGAATTATATTCTGTGCTATGCTACCTATAGCTGTAATTATTTGAGGAGGTTGAGGTGAAATTATCTTGACTGTAACAATGTAAGTTTGGAAATAGTGACTTTCATTAAGGGATTCGAATTTTTTTTTTTTTTCCTCCTCTTAGAGTCTTTTCTTAATTTCAGCTTTTGAAGAAACTGGTGATAAAAATTATTAAGGCAATGATCTAGTGCATCTGGAACTGCATTTGGATTAATTTTGTTCTTTAGTAACTGATGCTACAAATCTGTAACATCTCTTCTTCAGTGCCAGCTCATCAAAAAAAGAGGGAGAATACACTGTTTGATATTCACAGATCTCCTGCAAGAAGAAGCCATATCAGGTAACTGTCAGTCTTTTTGTAGGTAGGAGCTGTTTGCTTTCCCTCAGTACATTTCTATTAGGTTTTTTATTTTAAAAACATTCTTGAATGAGTTGTCTAGTTCTTTCACACAAATGTATGGGTCTTGATTTGTCTTAGGGTCAGAACCTGATCAGCATACAAAATAAATTTCATGGCACTTCATAATACAGGAGAAGCTTTGTGATAAGCAGTTCCCTCACGAAAGACTGGGAACAGGTGTGCTGCAAGTACTGGAGAAGAGTTGTTTTGCACGCTGTAGCTTTTTCTGTAAGGACTTACATTAGGTGTTCACTTTCAAAGCAGCACTTTAACAAATCTCCTTTTTATTCTACAAAAATAAATTGCAATAATGTTTTTTGTTTTTTTTGCAGTTCAAATTTCATTCAAGTAATATTAGCCATATTAATAAATATTAATTAACATTCTAAACATTTGACATCAAATTAACATTGATTAATTAACAATATTTATTAATAACATATTAACCAAATGTGATTTTTGACTTGCTCTTTTGTGTGAAAGAAGTCTGGCCAGGTTGTCTTGGAGAACTATTGAAAGGCTTTATTTAACGTAAGATCGGAGGTTAATGCATTTTTGTAACAATAGATGTACTCAAAAATATAAGCCTTACTGTGAATGGAATACTTTCTTTACAAATACCCTCTTGCTCAGATACAATGCTGTGATCCTATTACATACTGCGTACAGGACTACGTAAAAGCACGCTACGGCCTTAACTGAAACTCTTGTTGCCCAGTTTGATAGAGTAGCGAAGAGTGAATATGAAATAAATAAAATATGATTAAAATCCTGTGATTCTGTTAGTTTCTTTTTAATGTATTTAACAACATATAATTTTGAGGAGCACTTTACAGTTATTTTATTGCTTAAAGTTCTATTGACATTTTGTTGCGTAGCTTCTGAACTTTTACCTAAGAAATAAACAGTTTGGAGGCGATTATCCCTTCAGTTTTAGCATGCTTATTGCTCCACTCTCGTTTTATCCTGTCTTACTAGGGTATTTTACACACACAGAATTTCATTGTAATTGCATGTAGTTCTCTCTGATTTTTAAAAAAATATATATATTTTTGGTAATCAGACAATAAAGCTGGTTGGCCTTGTTGTCCTTTGGAAAAAAACAGTCAGTTCATGTTCATATAAGTGGTGCAACTCGCTGTTTACAGCGAAATACATGAATTTTTAGTAGTACCCAGCTTCTATTATTTCATGCAGATAAAAATGCAAACATCTTTCAGATGGAAATCGAACTGCATACCTTTAGAAAAAGAGACCATATGTTTTAGAACTATGGAATTTTTTAAAAAGAATATTTAAAGGGAAGTTTCAAACTGAATAAGGAGACGTGGTCTTGATATATCTGTTGTTAGAGGTGACTAATAAAGTTGGAAAATTTCCTAATAAAGTTACTGTCTGATAAACTTTAACAATAGAATACTCGAACTCACTAGCTGATGTAACTAGGCCACGTCTTAGAGGGATCTGCAGTTTCAATACTGTTTACATTGAAGTCGGACACTTCTGAAACGGTGTAAGAATGAATATAGAAGTTTCCCTCACAGGCTATTTTGATACTTACGCATGCAAATTTTTGTTTTATTAATGACTTAAACCTGAGCGGTATTATACTTACCTTTTTAGTTTTCTTTCTTATAAAAAGTCACAATATGCTGTTTCACTTGGGGGGGAAAAAAGGACTCTTGAGTTTCCTATTTTTTTTACTGCTTAAATAGGAGAAAGAAACATGCCATTCACAGCAGTGATACAACTTCTTCAGATGAAGAACGTTTTGAAAGAAGAAAGTCTAAGAGCATGGCCAGAGCAAGAAATAGGTATAAAAACATCTTTTGTCTTTGGGAAG